CCTCTCTCTCTCTCTCTCTCTCTCTCTCTCTCTCTCTCTCTCTCTCTCTCTCTCTCGTGCGCGTATACTGGCAGACCCCATTACCCCTCCCCTCCCACACGTGGTTAACCAAGGGTGTTATTTTCGACGAATTTTGCACCGAATTGCACTGAAACTGTCATATTGTGCTGATCTTTTGCTTTTTTTCTTGTTTTTATTTGTGTTATATATATGTGCTTTAGGGTACATCATGTGTGCAGTTTTAACATGTTTGGATCAATAATGAAAAAGTTGGCATTTTGTTGAATTCGTTGGACGCTTCATTTGGACTCGGACAGTGTCTTTGTGTTAGGGTTTCATAGTGTTTTTTTGTTTTTTTTTTTCGTTTTTTTTGGCCTGTTTCCTTTTTTGATGTTTGCACTATGGTCTCATATCATTTGTTTTTAAAAATTTTGATGAAATTCGCACCGCAATTGCGAACGAAAACGACAAATATTTGGGCCCCCGTTAACCGTCTCTCTCTCTCTCTCTCTCTCTCTTGCGCGCATATACTGGCAGACCCCATTACCCCTCCCCTCCTCTCTCTCTCTCTCTCTCTCTCTCTCTCTCTCTCTCTCTCTCCATACAATATTTCTCCGCTTCTTCGTTTGCGGCCGTAGATTAGGAAGATGAATCGTGAGGAACGCAGAATCCAGGCAACTGGAACCTTGCCCATGGTCACTCCCCTACCCCCCGGAATTCAATAAGAAATTAGTTCAAGAAGTACTAAAAAAGGTGCTAGTGGCAAAGGTACGCCTTGAGGTAATAGAAAACTCAAAAAACGATGCCCATGGGTCAATTCAATAAACAGTAAATTACACTAACTCCCCAAAACACACACACCCACCCACCCACACCCACACACACACACACACACACACACACACACAGGCACTACACCTGCCTGCTCAACCAAACATACAACCGACAACAGAATGATGATGGAAAAATGAGGAAATACTGTAAAACAAATTAGGCACTTTAATAAGAAAAGTGAGAGAAAAAAAGTGAGGAAAAAAAAAGACGCACCACAACAGCCTTGAGCACTTCGTTCCCGATTGAAGGCAACACTCTCTCATCGTAGTCGATACCGAGATGCTGGAAAATGTGAGGTAGCATTTGCATATCCGGCTTTGAGAGCACTCTGAGCGTCAGATTCACCATCTGCAGATCTGCAGATCAACGGCCACAACAACACGACGGCTCTCATGATGGTAAGATTTTATTTTTCTTTATTTTTTCCATATTATTTTCTTTTTTATTTCATTTTATTGTTCTTTTTTTTCTTTTCATTCTTTTTTTCTTTTTTACTATGTACAAACTATCGGACAAAATGAAGGCAGCAAAGAAATGAGCAGAAAATTTGAGAAAACGACAAAACAACTCAACCAACAATGATCATCATGATAATATATTGTCACAAGAATATCAGAGCGCAAATCCGAAAAAAAAAAAACAGGAAAAAATAAATTCATTTTTTTAAAATCTTTTTCCTTACAACTCCCCCTGTTCAAATCCTCTTTTGCGTACAAGGCCGCCCACGTGGATGTAGGTTGAGCGGCGGCTGCCCCACCCCCCCCCTCCTCTCCCTGGTGTCATATCGACCCACTTGCACACAGCCAAAGCGCAAAGAGGCAAAGAAAAGACGAAGCGAACAGCCAAATACAACAAAACAAAACAGGGGCCAACAAGCAATATCACCAAAAACGGATCCTCGATGACAAGTCCCACATGCAAGCACCGCCACTCCCTCCTTCACAACAGGCCAAACGACAGGACAAGACCACCCAGGACAAATCAATCTCTTGTCTGCAAAAAAAGAAAAATCCCAAATTACATATCTATCTATATACAGCAGATGGCCTTGTTCTTCATCAAGACGGCCTTGTCATCGAGGATCCGTTTTTGGTGCTGTCGATGGGAATATACCCACGTCTTGATGAAGAACAAGGCCATCTGCTGTATATAGATAGATATGTAAGCTGGGATCTCTCTTTGTTTGCAGACAAGAGATTGTCCTGTCGTTTGGCCTGTGAAGGAGGTATATTCCCATTTGTAAACCGTTCTTACTGGGACAAAAAAAATCCCGGATGACGATTCCCACATAAAAGCACCGCCCCCCCTTCACACAGGCCGAACAACGGGAAGCAACCAACTAGGATGCCAACACAATAAACGAGAACCCGGATGACTGCTCCCACATGAAAGCACCGCTACCTGCTTAGACCGAAATAGCCCGAACAACGGGACCAAACCAACCGGGATCCCGACAAGGTTACCAAAACAAATTCTACAATATCCATAGTTAAAAAAAAAAAAACGGAACCATATATATAATATATATTTAGTCGATGAAACTCGGACCAAACAATTTGTCACAGGCCCTCCCTCGTTTCTTGTCATCTTCTCCCTCCCTCCCTCCCTCCCTCACTGCCTACGCTTTACCGGGCAGCTCCGTTTTTTTTTTTTTTTTTTTTTTTTTTTTTTTTTTTTTTTTTTAACGATCTTATTACAAAATCATGTGAGAGGCAGCTTTGTTTGACGATACATATACATCACATAGTAATACATATAATTAATTTAATAATAATAAATTTAATAATACATATAGTAATACATATAGTATACATAAATATTTTTCAGTTTTCAATTTTTTTTCATCCTCCTGAAGAGTAGATAGGTGAAACTCCGACGAAACAGTTCGTCACAGCCCCTCCCTCTCTCTCTCTGCCTGCGGTTTACAAGGCAGCTCTGTTCGACGGACGCTCTGTTTGACGATATATTATATATTATAAATATATATTTTTATAACTTAGCAAAAAGATAAAAAGCAAATCAAGCCGGGATCGGCTCTTAAAGCGGGATGATGGATATAATAGCTTAAACCACAAGTACACCCGCACCTGATTTTAACGAACCTCAATTTCACTGCGCACCGAGTTTTGCCGAGCCTGGGTCCCGTTGTATTTTCTTTTCTCGTACTCCTCCCAAACGAACAACATGAAAAAGAAAAAAGAACCAAAAAAAAAAAAAAAGCGCAACAACGCTATGGACAAGAAAGCAGTCGGATACAGAATCAGGGGTCATTGTGAGAGTATGCCCTCAGTGAGGGCGTTTACAGCTCCGCGTCCATCACGGACGTTACTTTCAGCAATGAAAAGCAAAAAAAAAAAGCAACAACAATATGGACGTGAAACAGGTTAGATACAGAATCTGAGTTTATGCCCTCTTTCACAAGTTGTCAGAAGTCGGTGCACTGTTCCCTGCCCCGCGTTCATCACGGAGGTTCCTTTCTGA